GTCTTGAGCAGAGGCCCATAGCCCACCCCCTTCCTCAATGTGTTGCCATATAAATATATGTACATACGCCGATAACTCTATTTTTATGAATTAATATATTTATATAAGCACACACCTATATTTATACCTCTATCCATAGCTTTGTTTCCTAGATCTTTCCTCTGTTTCCTTTTACCTTCTCCTGTTCCACCATTATGCTCGCCCTTATTCTGCCTCTCAGTAATTCCCCTCAGCTAGATTGCTGTTGCTCCAACACCCCCAGGATCTCTATGTCCTCCTCGTTGTTGATTTTAATTCCCTAGTTGTTCCCCTGTCTATGGTGTTGTTTGCTTACTGTTCCCTTCACCCACCTCCTCCTTTCCCTAAGTCCCTCTGGAACCTTTGGTCCCATTGATTTCTCCTCCGGCTTGCTTCACATGTCTATCTTATATAGGTAGGCAAATCAACAATAATGTAGACAATACAAAAAGAAAACGAAAACTTGAATAAAAAGAGGGAAATATATATATATTTAAACAACAACAACAAAAAAATCCCAAAGCATAGATAATTCCAGGTCTGTCTGCTGACCTTTATGACTATCTCCCCACTGGCCCTGGGGGGTTCCAGGAACTGCCCCTTCTAGCCTGAAGTCTATTTTGGGGTTTCCTCAGGGGCATTGTGGCTTGGCTTTGCTCCCGTGGCTGATCTGGTATGTTCCCTTCATGGTTCGCTCACCTGTTGGGGTTCAGACTGGACTCCCTCCCCATGTGTGTTCCCAGTATCATCCTCTGTCATGGTATGTGCCAGCAAGGGAACATCATGTTTGAGCTGTTGTCGGCCCTACAGCCCTCTGTGTGCCTTAGCAGCTTCATGCAGGGACATCATCTTTAGGGCCTGGTGTGCCTGTATGGGGTCTAGAGTCTCACTCTCTCTTTTTCCTTCTTGGTATGTTTCCGTGTGGGGGTAAACCAAGAACTTTATGGTTCAAGGCAAGATGTTCTAAAGATACTCTTCTGTGATGATATTGCTGCCGAATTATGCATCTGGTTATACCTGTTAAAATATGTCAGGTTACATTGGGCCTCCACTCAAGTACTCCCTCAATGCAAGAA